CCGCACTTAGTCAGCCATGTGTTCCAAGCCCTAGTTACCATTGCGTGGCTTTCTTCATATATAATAGCCTAGGACTTGGCCTGGCCATGGGCCTGTTGTTCCTCATGCAGGACTGTTTCCCTTGAAGTCAAGATGGGCAACGCACCAAACAGCCTATTTGAACATTTACCGGGACAAGTGATGCACATTTGGACTGGAGTCACTGTTGAGGAAGGAGCTGGAAAGTTTGGCAATGCAGGCATGTCTGGAGCAAATACGTTCTTCATATTTCTTCATGTTTTATTCTTTACTTGGAACGCCTGGTCTTGAAGTTCAGGCTGCCACCCCTTTTGGTTGTTTGTGGCTTGACTCAAGCAAATTGCAACTTAATCAGGTTTGCCTGCGGCGCGGAGACTGAATTCAACGTATGAGGAAGAGGAAGAGGAAGTCCCTTAGCCTTGGCTTTGGCTCAGCTCTAACTTTTGGCTTGTTGGGCTCTGTGGTGGTCAAGCTGCTACCCACTTGTGACACTTCAACTGCTCTCTTTGGTCCTTTGCAAGTTCGGTTTGCTTTGCTTCGGGTCACGTTTGCCAAGGCGAAGGGTGGGAGCCTATACCCAAGAGACTTGCTTCTAGGAGACGCTTCGGATTATGCGAATGGAACCTACTTCAACGTAGTTCCTGCAGGCTCGAAGTTTGTGCAATTTCTGTGGACGGAGCTGCAAGTAGTGAGTGGGTGATGCCAACGCACTGCATGTCTGTCTGTGCAGAACGAAAATTCCTTGCTGTTTTCCACGTGATCGGCATGGTTCTGGGCTGAGTGGGAAGACTACATTGGCAGTGCGAAAGGGAGTGAGTCACGGGGATTCACTGGGTGCCGCGTGCATACTGAGGCCTACATGGTGCTCGGGTTGAACACTGTGTGTGATGTTTACTTTGCGGGGTCCATTGACCTGCTATGTGATGCCTGGGATCTCACCCCAGATGTAGCTGGAGCAACCTGCTTGCACCAAATTTTGCTTCCCCCCCATACTCTTGCAATCTTTCATTATTTGTAGCATTTTGCAGCCCTTCGCCCGGGCCAAGGCTACATGGATGGCAGCTGGAGGTTCAGCCCCAGAGTTCTTCACATCCATCATTGGTGCCACTATTGTGACATGGAAGCAAATCAGCGTCAATCATTATCAAAACGTCAGACTGGTGTGCTTGTTGCAGCGAAGTGAACAGTGGGTGAGGCGCAGAATGACATTGGCTTTGGCACCATTGTGGGCTCGGCTGTCTTCAATGTACTTTTTGTCATTGGACTGTGGAAACCTTAGAGCCATTTTGGAGCTGAGCAAGGCCTTCTGCGTTTCGCATCAGAGCCTAGCCCTGTTCGGCTTTCATTCTTGCCGTTCCTAATGAGGTGTGGGTATGTGGCGAAAGGCAATATCGATCTTACTTGGTGGCCTCTCTTCAGAGACACTCAGACAGCGATTTGGAATGGATGCGGGGAGTTGTGGGAAGCGCCTCCTGGTGTATTCAAAGTATATAAATTTGCTTGCCTCCAGTGCTAAGGACTGCTCATACTACATCACGTCATTGGCAGTTTTGGCCGCTTTTGTCTCGGACCAGCTTGTGCAAGCTTGGGAGGCAGATGCTTGCATGCCAAGAAAACAGGGCAAACACGGTGAGGTTTGAATGTCGAGACCTATGATTTTTAACGAGAGTGTTCAGACTTCTGTGCACTCTGCACAAGGCTGGCGTGCTTTTTACAATGTACATCTGCTACGTTCTATTCATGCTCGTGAACCGGCCACTCAATGTGTGGGCGTCGCTTGGCAGCAGATTCTGCGATGAGTAGCTGCTACATTTGCCGACCATCCAAGCAGTACTGCAGTTGCATGCCTGAAAACAATTGACTTCAGTGGCTCCAACAACTCAGGTACGAATTTACAGGCACTCCCTTGAACAAAGAGCTGAGGGAGTACGTCCAGGTTGGGTGCACCTTGACATGTGGTTGTGAGTGCTGCATTCTTAAGCTCACACTGCTTCAGGAGAAGCGCGCTGCAAGTGGCAAGGTTGAGCCCGAGAATCCAGCTGAAACTGAAACCGTGCAGGAAGATGGCGCGATGAAGAAACCAGATGAGCCACCAAGACCTGCCAAGGACCAAATCACGAAAACACAGCGATGATCAAAGACACGGGGGGCATACCATTTACATGAGCCTCCCTGTATTGATACACTGATATGCTCACACGCGTGCAAGGTTTTGCAGCTTTCGGCACAGACTTGTTTCATTGGCAGGCAAGCAATGTGATGACTAATTGATATGAGGTAGCTTCATGAAAAGACACACATGTTTTACAGTATTGCTTGTGGCGTACTGTGCTAGCTAGAGCCACACAGCATGTGCAGAGTTGCGGCCTTGTTCAGCAGGACAACTTCATGGAACCAGACAAAGTTGTTGTGAAGGGCACTCCGGAAGAGGAGGATGAAGATGATGGCCACGAACCTGAAGATTTGGTACAAGATGGAAAGTTGGCAGACAAGATCCCAGGGAAGGACAGCTTCCTGGTTCTGGGTTACTGCCGGTGATATTGGATTGCATGCTTTGAGAACATGATAGCACAGCATCCTGAGTGAACCGTTATCTGTAGGAAGATAGCAAGGGCAGCAAAGGGGCCTCAGAGATGGAGGCAGATGACGATGATGACGAGGAGAAGATGTCCATTGTTTGAGGCATTGATTCATGTTGAAGTAAGACTCAGGACACAAAATGGATGCAATCGTTGGCTCGGACATTTGCAGTTAGCCCATGCTTGCCATGGGCTCCAGGATGATGACGAGCCGGATGACTTCATGGAAATCCCAGAGGGAAAGGTGAGCTTGATCATTTGGCTTCTTTGCCTCCCTGTGTATATCCCACTCTACTATACACTGCTCGAGCCTGAGGGCCTTTAATTGAAACCATCAAGGCTTTGACATGTGCAATATTTTTAATAAGGTTTTGTGCCGAATTCCTTGCAAGTCTCCTCCCCTTGATGCAAGGTGATATCATTTTATAAGGTGTCACACGTCATGCGGTCTTGAGAAACCCAAGCCTTATATAAGAAGATGTGTCAGCTGAGGCCATGGCCGTCGAAGGGATCCAAACTCTACATGGTCTCGTTTGGTTTCTCCTTGCTTTGGATCGGAGGCTTTGCATTCCTGCTTGTTTGGTGGACAGAGATTGCACTTCAGCTGCATAGCTAGAGGAAGCTGCAAGCAGTCCTAGGAGGCAGGTTTTCGCACAATTGTTGACTTTGTTTTTCAGTCTCTCCGCGTTTTCCACTGCTGAGGTGGCTTCTGTCATTGGAGTACGGCCCTTAGATTAAGGTGGACCTTGAACGATTGGACATCCGTTGGCACATGATTGTATTCAATATCACCAGAATCTCGGAAATGCTAATGACTCCCAAAATAGAGACCAATTCCGTCGAGTCGCCCACTCGATGGAACCTGGAGTCGCCCACTGTATGGCTTTTGATCTGAGATTCCAACGATTATCTCTGGGTTGACGTTCCTTGCGGCCGCGACATCCATCCCGGATGCGGTGAGCTCAATGGCTGTGGCGCGCAAAGGCTGCTCGCCGCATTCTGCATTCCGCAGTGAAGTACATGGATATACAGTTATACAGTTATATCATATACACAGTACATAAACCTATGGATCATTTGGTCTGAAATTAGCATCTGTCTTGTCATCACTCGTTATTGTCACCTGCCGACCTTTCTAGGCCAAGCTGATATGGCAGTCAGCTCATCGGTGGGTTCCAATATTTTTGATATTCTTGTGCCCTGGAATGCAGATGAGTGAATTGCATGCTGGTTTGTCCTTTTTGAATCAGAGCCTGTTTTTGTGTTAAGTTCAGGAGCCAACGAGGGGCAATATGGGACTGACGGAGAGTTATGCCAAGTTCAGGTTGCCATGTGATCCGGCCTTTTTTGCTGAGGTTGGCTTACCGATTCCATGGTTGCTGAAGAATGCCATCGAGTCGAGTAACGAGGAATGGCATGGTGTTTCCATCCGGCAGCTCAGACGCATCACGTAGCTGTGCAGCTCGTTCATAAGCTAGATTCTTCTGGCATCTTCTGGCGAGGATGGTGCTTCCACTGAGGTCTCCGTACTTAATGTTCTACACTTGCTTGCTGTTGGGAATGGTCTTTGGGACCGTGGTGAGTATCATGATAAGCAAGTGGAAGCTGAGCAAGTTTCTGGGTGCTTGCATGGCAGTGCTGTACGTCATCTTCATTGTGTCTTGCGTGCTCATTGAAGAATTGCAGCCTGCAGCTTTGAGAACTATTGACGACTAGATGCGATCGTGAACCGCCCTTTGCATGAGAACAATCATGGCCTTAGTGCAGACGCAAGAGCCTCTGCAGCCTCAGCAGCCTACCTGGCACCTGCCGACCACTTTCTGAGTAGCTTGCACCTGCTTTCCAGTTGAAACCTTTATTGAAGGTTCGCTATGCACCTAGCAGAGCAGAACCAGATTCATCACGCTTTGGCATTCACATTCTGCTTTGGCATTCTGCTCCAAAGGCTTGGGCCGTGTTAGTGAGGTCCAAGGCTAAACTTTGGCAGCATTTGTGAGGTAGAAAGTGTATGAAAGTGTCGCCCCCATACGCATAGCATTGCTAAAGTAGGCACACGCACACAGACGCACAGGTGTACATAGACATTCTATCCTGACTGCATTCCTGGTTCACATCTGATACTCTCCAATTGTACTGTTTTTCACTTCAGAGTAGCCAAGAGTGAATACCACAAGCACCGACAGCCTCTGCGCTTCCGCTTCTTAATAGAAGTAAGGGGCATACGCAACTGGAATTGCACAAAATGCACCTGTTTCACCATGCGAAGATCTAAGCCTTGCGGATTCTCGCTGCCGATGAACAAACAGCGTGCCGGTGATTTCTGCCCGAAACGCAGATTTGCACAGCCACACAATTCTTTGCGCAACGGTTGTCTAGCCCTTTCCGAATCATGTCTCGGCGAAGGCGTGGTCGAGATCCTCAAAGCAAAGTACGGGTGTTCTAAGGGTGGCAAACTAAGTTTGTCGTAGTTTGTGCAGCTGTGACTTCAATGGGTCAATGGGCCCTTGGCTTTTGAGAGTGAGTGGTGTGGGAAGTGTTCCGGAGGCAAACACAACTATAAAGCCCACTGCAGCAGTGTCACTGCTTATGAAACTCCATCTCTACCACCTAGTCTAACGTTGTGCAGACGTCGTGCAGACTTCGTGCAGGTCAGAGGATCCGGGTCATTGGGGAGACGCAGTCCCTGCTGCAATTCGAGGCGCCAGACGTGTCCGTGTCGAACTGAGAACTGGAGCGGTGGCCACCTGGTCGAGGGTGGAAAGACCGCTCCAATCAACCATGAGGGAAGTGGTTGGAAATGGGTGGCCGAGCGCTCAGCTTACAAAATCAACCAAGCTCAGTAGAAATCTTTTCAATTTTTTCCGAGACATTGCTTAACATCAGCCACTTCATCTAAGATTCGTGAAGAGGAGGAGGTGAAACAGTCTGCAGCAGAGGCGACTGACAGGTTGGACGGTTGGACAGGACTATCTCAAGAATTGCAGTGTGGTGCAAGCTGCCAGCTGCTGCCAGTGCCGAGCTACTAGGACGCTACTAGGAGCAAAGGGCATCGCTACTATATAGGAGCAAGGACGCTACTAGGGGCTCCTAGTCTTTCTACCAGGAGCAAGAAGCTAATTACTAGGAACACATTGACCGATACTAGGCGCAAATGGCTGCCTTGAAGCAAGCTGCTGCAATGCAGCTGGCGCAGGCGAAACGGAGACAGTTTAATAGATCAGAATGCTATGTGAATGCGAGACCGGGCAGGCTGTTTTTTTCTTTTGACTCTTGACATGACTTAGATGTTGGACTGACCACCTCAGGCTTTTGCCATCTGACATGAGATGTAGATGCTAAGATCGGCGCTCCGTGCTTCCCAAAGTGCACTAGGTTCACATAACGCTGCTCACCAGGAAATCTGAACAACAACAACAACTTCACGTAGATACCTTTTTTCACCGCAACTCCATAACGGCGGAAGCTAAGGGCCACCAGGCTTTGGCCATTTCACAAAAGACTTGAATGCTTGGATCAGTGAGGTTTACAGAGCGTTGCTAAGGTGTCTTTGAAAAGAATGAAAGGGACCATAGCAACATAGTACATTTTCTGTGAGCCACCCGAGGTTGGATGCTACGGGCTACCAGGCGTTTGCCACCTGACACAAGACCGAGATGTTAAGATCAGCCCCCCCTCCGTGTTTCGCAAAGTGCACTCCTAGGTTCACATAACGCTGCTCACCAGAAAAGAAAAACACGATGTACATCTAAATCCAATATTACTAGTACCCCCCTTGTGGGACACACCTATGCCTCTCGCTGAATCTGTTGAAGCAAGTGCAGCATGAAGAACAAGCATGGGCATGAAAATCCCTGGACAAAGATGCGTTGAGCTGGCAACCAATTGAATTCCACATTGGCCCAAAGATGTAAACGTCACCCCACCACCCCATCACTACCAATACCAAGCGGCCTGTGGGCTTCCATTCCATACCTGCTGAGAGAAAGAGAGGGTGAGAGAGAGAGAGAGAGAAAGGGAGAGAAAGGGAGAGAAGGAGTTTGTGCCTATGCGGGTAACACAAGGACAGGTAAAAGTCGTGTCAAGTTTTGCGAACGCTAGCAAACCACAAGCAACGAAAACACTATTGCGGATTGCGGCCATTTGCGCACTCAGACTTTGCAGCAAACGATCAAGAACTATTTTGCCTTGCGCTCGCTCCCTCAACGCGCTCATGGCCCAAAGAACCTGTTTCTTCTCCTTCCTCACTTCCATTTTGAGCCAATAGACCCAGCCTCGTGCTACTAGGTGGAAGCGCAGAAGGCAGCGGAGCTAGCGCGTGCACAAGCAGAAGCAAAGGTGCCACGCAGATTGTTGTACCAGCATGAATATATTAATATTTGATGTTCTCACGTGAGAAAAGATTAATTCAGGCATATGCCGCGGCGCGGGAGGCGGCCCTCCAATCCAAGGAGTGCACCGCTGCAGGGTGCTGTAGACATGATGTGAGCCTAGGCCTCGGCTTAGTCAGGTACTTGATCTGAATGGAAGGATGAACCAAGGCTCAGACAGCTTTGCCTTGCAGGACCGCAAAGGAAGTGAGAGACCCCGGAGTTCTCACAGCAGTTGTCGACTCAGAGCTCCAGTTGCTGAGAAATCAAATTATATAAAGATCGCTAGAATTATACACATACGTTCTGCTTCCAAAAGCATGCCGACCTGGTCATGGTCATAGTGGTTAATTTTGGTGCAAAGAGTAAGAGCTAGTTATGTAAGGCATTGATATGGTTCCCAGAGGCCAACAATGAATAATGTGTGCTTTTTTGATTCTCAGTAGTGTCGTAGTGTTTGATTAGACCGAGCTACAAGCAAGAAAGCCCCTTGAGCAAAGGCAGACCCAATGAAGAAAAGTGCAATCATTGGACAAAGTCTGACAACATCCTTAACCATTGTTTGTTATGTTTGGAAATCGTGAATTGCTCCCCTTTGATCAGTTTGCTGCTTGGCCTCTCCCTTGCTTACATAGACTTTTTCCAGCTAAGTTAACTTGTCCTATCTGAATTGGTCTTTTGATTGTTGTTTGTGGTTCCAAGCCCGTCGACGTGCAAATCACTGATCCTTGGTCTTCAAGTGGCGTTCACCTTGCTTTGCTGCTACTGCTGCTGCTCCCTGAAGTTTGATCTTGCCCAAATATGTTACTGTAACTGGGCCTGGCCTGGCTGGGGAATTTTCCCAATCTCGCCCGGTACCTTGCAGCATCTCGCTTTGCACCTCGCCTGGCACACACCACATGTTTGCCAAAACCCCAAACAGTAGCGACAGAAGGGTTTCATGATGTCACCGTGCCATGCAGTTTGTTGAGGCATTTGTGGAGTCTGTGTGTGCGTGGTTTTGTGCCAGTCGGGAATGGGGCACATGGTTATATACGTAAATGGCCCGTGAGCGGGACGACTGGCAAAAATGAGGTTTTCTGTTGCTTCTAGGTGAACCTATATACATCTATAATTTGTGGCGCACAATGTGGTGGCAGTCGAAGAGTTCAACAACCCATTGTGGTTTGAGATAACCCTGAACTTAATATTTTGTGTCTTTGAAAGATTAATGCTTCCATCTGCAGGGTGGGTGGGTGGGTGCGGCCACGCCTGGGTTTCCAAGATGGGTGGACTTTCTGGTTTGTTGTTGGGGCGACACTCCTGACGCCCTTGAACATGGAGGAGTGTGGGCACATGACCGGGTGGAAGTGGTGGTGGGGTTAATAAACTGACTAATATCGTGATGCGCAGGTCTTTATGTTGCGCCTGGTTCTAAACGTGAGGCTTGAATTAGTGTTTGCTGTCTAGAGTCTAGAGATGTCTAGAGGTAAAGCACTGCACCATCTCCCATGAGGGCCTGAGCGAAAAGTTTGCCTGAGTATGCAACAAAGCAAGTAGGAAACATCACATCATTGACAAGTGTAATTATGCATTAGGAACAAGAAGCTACTAGGAGCAAAGGACATCGCTACTAGGGGCTCCTGGCCTTACTACTAGGAGCAAGGTCGAGAAACTTCAAAACACTGTAAATACCAGATGCATTTTGTGGGCAGCTAGTCTATTTTTTAGAGGGGCGCTAGCAACTCTGTTGCTTGCCAAGCAGATTGAGGTGGCTCTGCCTGTAATGAGGCATCGGGCTTGTTGTCTATCGGCTATCGGCTATTGTTGTTCCTGGAAGAATTGGCAATGCCTTTCCTATCCTTTCCTGAAGGAGAAAGCCAGGAAGATGAAGCAATTGAAGGAGACCTTTGATTTTGCGTTTGTTTGATGTCTTACCACTCTAATTAAGCGGAGGCCAAAAAACGACTGAACCCAACGACGTCCAGTTCCAGGCTTTGATTTTGGTTGACCACACGTCAATTGAACATGTTGACATGTTATATAGACTTCAGTCGCGCGACATGTGGTGCCAGTTCCAACTCCAGCTCAATCCAGTGCCTTGATGAGCAGATTAAAGGGGAAATATATAATTTCACAACTGTCGAGTGAGCACTCAGGAAGGCGAAGAAGAAGAAGAAGAAGGAGGCCATGGCCAAGGCATGCCTCAGGGTCCAGCAACCATTGGATGGAGGTGTGCTCGCAGGAATTTTTGCAACCGCGTTTCCCAACAACCAGGCATCTCCGATGGAACCCGTAGCGGCAACATGCTTCGACCATGTTGTCGCCAGCATGAACCTGAATATTTCTGGCAGGGCCACATGCGCACAGTTGGACTGTTGTACCTGCATTTCCAGGATACCTTTCATGTTGCATGGGCAAGTGAACATGCAAGACGATGTTACGAGCATAATGATTTCTGCTGCTTGAGGGTCCTTGAAGTCAAATGTTTCAAGATTAGGCCTTCCAAGGCAAAGAAGAAGAGCACACATCAATTTGCTCATCCTCGTGCGGTGCAGCAAGACTTTTGTCAGGGGCACTCGATCTTAAGCATCGAAATGGTAGTTCTATGGGTTTCAGCCTCAAGGGGAAGAGGAGGAGGACGAGCGGCCAGATTTTCCACCTGCTGGCACAAAAGGCTGGTGATCATTAATTTCAACTTGGCTGGCTTTTGTCTCGCATCCGCATGGTTGTGAGTGAGAACTCGTCCAGCCAATTCAATAGCGACTTGACCGATATAGAGCTTGTGTGAGTGTTTGTTTTAATTCTTGCAGACTCGTATTGAGGTTCTGTACTTTGTGAAATCGAGCGGCAGCTGCCTTCAGAACTAGCAGTCGTGCAACTGGTGGCTGATGATGAGGCGTGTCAACCACATTTTTGGGGTTTGTACGATGCTGTCCCTGACTGAAAGGCCTTGCTGCTTAGCTATGCGCAGCTCCTCTCCTGGGCTGAAGACATTGCCAAACAAATAGAGGCCTCCGATTTAAGCAGACTAAGACAGGGTTTTCTGCTTGTTGCGCTTCTGCTGGACCGCTCAGCACTTTGTCTTGCTGCGATTCTCGGGAGTTGGAAGGCTGGTGGGGCATATGTACCCGTGCCCAAAGATGCTCCATTTGCAAGGCAGAAGTTTCTGTGCTCCCAGGCAGACATGGTGCTAATGGAGGATGACGGTTCTTCGAACGAATGTCGTGTTCATGCTTGCACCCTATTCCTCTCAAACAGTTGGAGACCGACCTGCCAAAAAGTACCACGTCAGCAAAGGCAGGTCCCCTCTGCTGACCAGATGTGCATGGTAATATACACATCAGGCTCTACTGGTCAACCGAAAGGAGTCCTGTGCAATCACAAGTGCCTTTGGCACTCAGCCTGCTGCTTTGCCAAAGACATAGGAGCGACGTGCACAACTCGTTTGCTTTGGAAGACACCTTACCAGTGGCGAACTGCAGAATATGAAGCTTTCGCAGCTCTTTGTTTTGGTGGCGTGTTGTATATTGCCCCTGAAGGTTCCCAGAGAAATTTACCGCTTCTGGCACAGCTTACTGAGACATACAGCATCAGTGCTTTGACAGCAGTACCATCAGTTTTGCCTTCTCTTATGCGCCACTTGGGGAACTGCCCTGCCCTCAAGCATATGGCAGCCGTCGGTGAGGCTTTGCCCGCTGAAGTCTGTAAACTGTTTTTGGAGAAAGGTCCTCAGTTGCGGAACTACTACGGCCTGACTGAAACTGCTATGACTTCCTGGCTTTGCAGCCACATCCCACACCGGTCAGTTGCACCTGTGGGGCAAGCGCAGCCAGAAGTGCAGGTTTCGTTGCTACTGGAGCCAGGAGGTAAGCCTGTCCCAGAGGGAGAGGTCTACTTCAGTGGCATACTGTCTCAAGGTTATTTGAACCAGCCGGAGCTTACAAGAGAACGGTACCATAAGGTCCAGCTGAAGAACCAAGCGTTAAGTTTGCACGCAAATAGCCCTCTTTGACCACGCGTGATGCATCTAGGGTTGTAGATTGAGTCGGGAATCGAATCCAACTGTTATCGTGCCCTGTGTAGGTGAACAGTGAAATTTGTTTTCAGACTGGTGACTTTGGCATGTGGAGAGACGGCGAACTGGAAATCTGCGGACGGAAGGATGCCCAGGCGAGAAGACACGATAAATGACGATGCCAGTCCAAGAAACCTGCAGCCAAGTAGCTTGTGAAGAAACGTGCATGTTGGATCATGTTGGTGTGAAGTGAATTTGGAGAAATACCTTGGCAGGTGAAGCTTCATGGTGTGCGGATAGAATTGGCAGAAATTGAATCTTCACTATCGACCATGTGCGAGGGGGCGGCTGTGGTGCAAGCGCTTCAGGACTCACAAACCTTAGTTCCCGGGATCGGACTTGGCACCTGTGTAACAACTTGCATTTTCTGAGGGACTTGGAATTTGGATGATTTTGGTGGGTATGAAACGGTAATGCCCTTCCATTCTTGCGTTTGCACCTCTCAGCTTCGCCGCAGCAGAGGTGGCATTCGTGACAGGGGCCCAAGACAACCTGCGGCAATCCTTGTCAAAGACTCTTCCAGCCTATATGATTCCGGTGCATTTCATCCACTTAAAGTGCTTGCCACGCCTTGAAAATGACAAGATCAACCGAAGTGCCCTTCGGGACATGACATTGGGACTACAATCCCGTGCTCAAGCTGAAGCACAGCTCGAAGAAGACTTAGCTTTGGGGGATGAGAAAACCGAGTGCTTCTCGAATGACCTTCTGCGATTTTTGGATTCTTTGGGTTTCGAGCGTTTGCTCAGCTCACGGCAGGCAAGAATGCAGCGACTTTGCGATAACCTTTCAGTACTAGCAATGACGAACGTGGTTCTATTTCACTGGTTTTGGTGTGTCCTTATTGAGCCACGGACTTACCATTTTTCAGGATCGCAAAGCAACGCCGTGCCAATGGCAAAGTTGCAGGTTAGCTCGTGGCTTTTGTACACATACCGCCTCGCCACACAGGATTGGGCTTATGGCATTTTTGCTTTCACCACAGCGTTGATGTCGCCTAACAATGAGAGATTTACAGGCCGCGATGCAGCTATTTTTTGTGCTCTACTTCTACACAGGCTGCAGGGAGTAGTCACTAGTAAAAGTTAAATCATGTGATGATGCAACCACAGTCGAACGTCCTTCATTGAGAGATCTGGCAATATGGACGCATGTTTTGCGAGCACCAACACCGTTAGTAGGTACCCAAGCGTCATGTATTGAAACAGTCGGGACGCTTCTAAGACTCATGCTGGTCAGTGTCAGTAGCGATTGTCAAAGCAGAGAAGCAGGGGCTTGTTGTCATTGTTGTTTGGGTGTAAATGCATTCACTGCCTGGCAGGTTGTTTTCCGATGATTGCTTCGCATTGCCTTGGGCCGCCCTGGAATGATATTGTTTTCCATGCTGAGACCGTGCAAAGATGGTTCCTGCTTGCATTGCTCATTGGCAAAATGGTTGTAGTTGGAGGTCTTCATTGTGGAGCAGGTGGTGCGGGTGTTTGATTTGTTCATGTCCCGCTTCGAGCATCATCTCTCTCTTTCTCTCGCTCGGTTCGTGCAATTTAGAGTTTAGAGGGCAGTGGGCAAAATGCGCAACTTCAGCTTGGTTGTGTGCATCAGGACCAATCCTGCAGCTGATGCCTTTGCTGTGCATTTTCTTGTTGGTTCCATCTTGCTTCCTCGACTTTTACGCTGCTGGCGGAGAGTACTTCTTGCCGACCGAGAGGTGGCCAGAATGCCAATCTTGCTTGATGACACCCAAGGCCAAGTCAGTTATATAGTGCTTGTTGCATGTTCAGCTATGTGTTGTGGTGGTAAGATGACATAGAACCATGCAGGAGTGAATTGGCACATACATAGTTACATACATACATACATACATTGCACTTTCCTTTTTTTAAAATCTTTCTGCTGCACTTTTGAAAGTTTTGGGGTGCCAGGTAGCGCTGTGCTGTCTCCTGTACGTGGGTTTTTCACACTTTGGCACTGCGTGCGCAGAGCTGATCCACAAGATAAAGGCTCCAGAGGGTGCTCTCATATTCATTGCGGCTTGCATGGTATCTGAACGTGCACGCATAGCACAAGCTGCCATTGAAGGCGATAGTCTTGTGGGCCCTGTTCATCAGCTCTTTGTTCGCTTCCTTGGATTGCTTCTTATCATAATTCAGACGCTTGCTCTAGTCAGTGCCGGAAAGCCATTTGCAAGTAAAAGATGGCACCTTCGGTGGCCAGCACGGTACTTGTTGGGCAGCTACCTGCTGAATTTGAACTTTCTTGATGTGTTCGGCATCAGTCCCGAAGTTCGAAGGCCAGGAAGATTTCCAGCTTGGTGGTTGTAGAGTCGCCGCTGCATAATCTGACATCGCGAGGCACTTGCTGGAAAAGGAAATTGCTTGGATGAATTTGGGGCCTTTGGCGCCAACTTCTTAGACGAAGCCTTGCAAATTGCAATTTCCAGCATAGCTCACGTGGCAGAGTGATACAGTGTATGCCAGTAGAAACATACACTGTAGAAACATGGATTTACATACTGTAAGCAGACTGGTGTATATGACTAGCTATGCCACACAGTGTGCCACTGAAACATACTGAAACCAAGGTGTGCAGTCTGCATTTGGGCCTCTATGCTGCTACCGATCGCCAGCACCCTAGATGGACACAAGCATGCAGCATACTGTTCAATACTGTTTGAAGACGTACTGCGCATCAGTTGAGGCGGCGTTCTTAATTTTGGCCGCACCGATACTCCAAACACTGTTTGGATCCCAGCTTCTCGCGTACATTATGGGCTTTATACTGTATGTTGCCCTGAGACCCTGACATGCATAAGGCTCATAGCCTGGCCTTGGCAGATTGCGTCGTTTGCATTGCGTGCTGCTCGAGTATGGTGGAATCTGAGGATGTGGTGACCCCAGGTGGTTTTAGATATGTCATTAAGTTTTACATATGGAATGCAACACACCGTCCCTGAAGTGCCTGGTCAGCCTGGACATGAGAACGCCTCAGGCAGACGCCGAAATCACAACCGCTCCTGAACGATCAGAGGGGTTGCAATGTGTAACAATCGGCGGTCGCAGACACAACACCTTCCCAACGGTTATGTGCTCTTGACGCGAATTTGTGAGCTGGAGCGAGACGGTTGGAGCAAGATAAAGCTGAATCGGGCTGACTATATAATTCACACTTTGTCCTTTTGAAATTCCTACCGTCACGCAAGTTGTACAAAGAGCCTGCTCGATGGTTGACAGATTCGCAGAAAACAGCGTTACACGGGGCATTTGGCTGCTCATGGGCGCGAGTATCATTTTCTTTGCAGACACGCTCCGTTTATGCCATGCCATGGGTCAGGAGCAAGTGATATCAAGGGAGTATACGGGCGCATGCAGCATAATAAATAATATGCATCGTGGTTAACTCAAACGTGAAAGTGTGCAACAGTCATGCTGGCTCCTGTTTACTTTCCGCCACAGGTGAAAAAGGACAGCAAGAAGAAGAGAAGTATAAGCACAAAAGCATCTGGAAGCAACCCCAAGTTGAGGAAGAGTGAGACTCGGACCGTGAAAAGGACCTTGAGCAAAGAGAAGGCAGTTGGGTGACCGGTGCCAAATAAACGCAGCAGACTTCGAGAGGCGAATCTCCAATTGCTCAGTCAGAGCATCTAAGAGCCATCGCAATGGCTCCAACCTAATAGGAATGGCCTCCAAAATTGCCTCCAACCCAGAAGGAATGGCCTCCAACCTAATAGCCATGGACTTCAATTGCCTCCAACCAGATGTTTTGTTGCAACTACGGCTTTTGGATCCTTTTGGCATCAGGTGCCTGTAAAGCATTCCCACAGAGAGAAGGGGGGCACATGACAAGTTCACAAGGGTCCAGAGATTTGGACAATCCGCATGGTCAGGCGCTTTTCTCTTTAAATTTGTATCATTCGGCAGACTTTGTGCCAGTCCGGCAAGAAGAAGCGAAAGAAGCGGAAAAGCCAAGTCTCATCGAGCAGCGTCTCATCTCCATGTGTGGCGAGTCAAAGCCCCTTTTGAATGTGAATGGGCTCGCTGAATGGCTGCTGGGCCCCAAACAAGAGGCCTCGAACTCTACAGCCATGTATTTCTCGAAGTCAGACTGCCCAGGTTCGACTGCCACAGATGTCACGCAGGTGGACACTTGAACAGCAATCAGGCGCAATCAGCCTTGGACACGGGATGAAGTTCATGAAAGGTTCATGATTCATCGGATAAAAGGACTGCAACTTTTTACATCATGAGTTTTGCCGGGATTTGGACAAGAGGACCAGGCGGACTAAGAAAATTGGCAAGTTGGATGAAGAAACTATGTCAGGTTCACGAAAACCAAGTGCGCCTAATTGCCTGGTGTTTTGGAATTGGCCCATGCACACTTAAGTGGCAAGCTACAGTAAGCCAGTAAGCCGTGCTCACTGTACTTGTGTCCAAATTGTTCTGCACAGTTAGCTTTGCATGCGCTACCATAGCGTGCGCAAATACATGCAAATGTCATGCAACTGCAAAGTGAACAAGTGTAACAACATGCATCCTACCGTCTTGAGAGAAGGATGAACTGGTAGGTCCACTTAGAAGCTCGTGCCAGATCGGAGGGTCAGGAGTCAGGAGGACCAAAAACGTGACAATTTCATCGTCCAGGTCAGCCTCTACCAAGCATGTTGTGATCTGCCCAAAACATGGGAGGCCAGGACCAAAGCTTTATTGGTCGGTTTGGGGGGTTCAAATCCTTTGGTTGCACGGTTGATGCTGGCAGAGACTCATGCTGATGGTAGCTGGCAGCTACTAGGTTGGAGGCCATCGCTACTAGAGTGGAGGCCCACGGTGGAGGCCATCGCTACTAGGTTGGAGACCATTACTACCACTAGCAAGAAGCTACTAAGACTCCATTGGCAAAGCCCCGCCCTGTTGCGTCTCTTGTTTCCTGAGGCAATTCGGCAATGTGCAGGCCCAGCAACCATGCAGAGCGGACATTCTTGTTCACATCGCTGAAAGACCCCAAAGGTTATTTATAATAGTAGATTAATTTGGTGCTTCCTGACTAGAGATGCAACAGGAAAAAATATGCAACCGTGGCACTTCAGAGCCATGATTCTTGATTACTGAATTCCGCATACGGCTGCCGCCGATGATTTGCTGGACAGGCAGGCTCCGAACCTCATGCTTTCCTTGTCCCTCTTCACACCTGTCTAAAAAGCTGTTCAACATTATTTGCAAGCAATTCTGAAATTCTTGCGAGCCCCAACTGGCTCATCACTCAGTCGGGTCGCAATTTACTACAATTAGAAGTATGACCAGGGCCAACTTCTATGAAGGACAATGATGACCAAGCTGCTCGAGGCAGGATGCCGCAGAGCGGATGCAACCTTTTGACGATGTTGACCCTTATATAATCAACTTGAAAATGCATAAAGAAAGGAAGACACCTGAAAGAAATGTACAAAGCCAGGAAAGAAAGATACATCTTTAGTACGAAGAGCAGATTGAATTCTTGCCCAAGGCTTGTGCCTCGCAGCTGTGCCGTGCCGACGTTTGCGACAGTTTCACCATACGCAAGCAGTATCAAAAAGCCGGATGCTGTTCATGTTTCGGTGCCTTGTCAGATTATATAGAAGTACCGGATGCTCGACTCAGAAGGAGGTTCTATGACCGTTCCATCCCAAGAACACCGGTTTTGATCTGCAAGCTGGTGAACATGTTTAGGAGACGGACAAACCCTTTTGGACGCATGCACTGCAATCTATACAGTGTACTCTCGGTCTTGGCATGTGAAAGCACGGACTGCCGCAGATATTTCGGCGTGGCGTTTTCAGGGAATTATGTACAAAAGCATGGAACCCATGGAACAGGCATTTGGCCTTCAATATCTACAATATTTGCATTATCCAATGCTTGTGACATCTAACGTTTAATACTTTAAAGTGGCTTCGGCCAACACAGATGTCAAGTATGTGAATCACATGTGGTCAAATGTCCAAAAGGTAAGGCTCAGGTTCATCCTGTTGGGCAGAACTTGCGCTTACGATTTGCAGCCGTGGGCACATAAAGGATCGTGAAGGCCAAAAAGGGGCGTGTCACGTTCCAGGGTCCACACTCCTGCAGTGCAACCATCCTAGAGCGGAAAGCAGGGCTAGACACCCTTTTCCACTGTTGAAGTGTGCGTTGAATAAGAATAAAGGTGCACATGCTCAAATCGGATTGCTTTTCTTTGCAGGCTGATGCTGGCAAATGACCCACTAGTCAGAGAGCATTTTCCGCAGTACTTGCCTTCGGAGGAGCCTGAGCATGTTTTGGTTTGGCTTCTGAGAGCTTTTGGGAGAGAACGAACTCAGGATGAGCTCTCCGCCACGGCGCAGTTGGTGGCTGAAATGCCTTCAAATGAGATGCAGCTGAAGGAGGGATGTAAAGGATGGTGTCAACATCGACAATGGTTCGCTTGTTAAAGACAATTTTTACACTCCGTGGAATAGTTATGACAGTGGACAATGGCCCCTTGGAAGTCCATTTTCCTCTACGTCCACGGTTATTCTAGCCCGGAGGGAAATCCTTGCCCTTGCTTGAGGAGTTTGTTGCCATTCATGCAGACGTCAAAGCAACTCTGCGGTGCCTTGGGTGATCTGAAAACCGGACCGAAGTTGTCTTGCTCCTAATTGCTCCTAAGAGCAAAGGCCTCCACCCCAATAGCGATGGCCTCCATCCTACTAAGCATGCAGGCGCATGTGTATTTACATAGCCAACTTGTGCTTTCCTTGCATGCAGTTCTTACATAATTCCTTTGACGGGTGTGTGACCAAGGCGCTTTTGTTGGCAAGCCAAGCAAGATGGTTTGACAGGGGCTGCCTGTGCACAGGAGGAATCATGCCAAGAAAGGAGTCTAACCATCATTTTGTTCGGTTGAGCGGAGGCTGTCAAGCTTCTGAATCTTTGCTTGGAAAGACGCGCAAAGCGACTTGGATCTTTGTCCCTTCAAAACCGCCTGAACCTGTTGCATTCTATTTGACCGGTTTGATATGGATATGATGTTACGCCCCCGGAATTTAAGACGACCGGGTTCGATCTCGTTTTATCCACAGAGTTTGGCTCACAGCGGATGCGGTGCACGGCCTGTGGCCTCCTGACATCCGGGGAGGAAGATCTGTGCACATTCTGCAGGAGCAGGAATTGCTTTTGGCTGGTGCTCGACGACATCCCCGTCCCGTTGAGAGGCTGGGCAGTGAATTCACTTCGGGTGTGGACAAGTGTCATCCAGGAGGAGTCGGACAAGTTTCACGAAGCTCAGCGAAAAAGGGAGGCCGTCGAGAGCACCGCAATCTCGAAAGCCAAGAGCTTGGCATCCTCTGGCACTCCTGAGAGGGGGAGTGAAGCCACCGAGAAGGTTGAGGAGGAGAGTAAGCCGGACAAGTCGTGGATCTCCGCCAAGCGTGAGGAGGAGGCTTCAAAGGCATCTCCTGTCGGGGAGGTGAGTGGGCAAGAGGAGACCGCAGAGGGTCGACACTCGAGTTCATCAAAGCAGGTCAAAGAGGAGCCTAGGAGAAGGTCAAGGAGGAGAAGCAGAACGAGGAGTCGCAGCAAAAGAGAAATGAAGAGGAAAAGCAAGACTCGATCAAGGTCAAGGCAGGAGAAGAAGGAATTCGAGAGAGAAGCGAGAGGAGAATTCGAGGTCATCAAGGCCAGTTGAGGTTGAGCGAACGGTGCCAAGAGCTAGACCGTCAGTGAGGCCACCGAAGACGCCCTCACGATCACCTCCGGGGAGACATCAGCCTCCTAAGAAGACTCCACCTATCATCCGCCCGGCTGTCAAGAAGTGGGACGGAAGAGTACCGGCTTGGAAACTACACCCCAGGTGGTACGGTGAGAACAAAGGTGCAAAAAAGCGGGAGCGACATTACTATCGCGCCCAGGAAGACGAGCAGTGAGGTTTAGAGTGAGGGGATGCCACCCAGGCATCGACCGGCAGTGAGAGGAGTGAGGCCGCCTCCTATTCGGGGAGGAGGTGTGAGGAGAAGGCCAGCGGCAAGAGAGGCTGGACGCCCAGAAGCTGGTGCTGAAGTGGACGGTGAGGTTTTGCGCCTTGCTACCACAGGAGCAAGACTAGGAGCAAGTTTTGAAGGAGGAGAGAGAGTGAGATGCGAGGAGGTCCCGTTGGAAGTTTTTCGCCGAGGCCTGCCAGTGTGCGTCGAAGGCATCTATTGGGGGGGCCAGGTGCATGGTGGCAGGCTTGGTGGACAACCTCTACATCAGGACGCCCAAAGATGTGGAGTTGGAGATCAAGGTGCAGGGCACGAGCGAGGAGTCGCTGCTGAAGTGGGCTACAGGCCACAAGGGGCAGAAACTCAGGCTTCACCTCTGTGGAGACAGGTGCCCAGAGAGGCTCGAGGCAGAGGATCTGGTCCATGCGACGTTGATCCAAAAGAGGGCTGGCGAGGACGATCCATGGATGGTCAACTTGATCGAGGAGGTCCCCGGGCCAGAAGTTCTACGAGCGGAGCCACTCCTAGTCGGGGAGAGAGGCGAGGACGAGAGCAAAGGAAGTGGTGCAAAGAAGTCCGTGCCAGGGGAGAAGGCAGAGAAGAAAAAGAAGAAGAGGAAGAGGAGCGAAGCTCGAGACGAAAGTCCCGAGAAAGGCCGAGAGAGGGTCGATCTGAAAGGAGGAGCTCGAAAAGAACTGAAGGAGGTCTTTGGAGGGACAGGGTTAGACCCAGATCCTCGCTACCGTCGCCGGTTCGCCATCAAGGCCCAGAAGAAGATCAAAAAGAAGAAGAAGGACTCCTATTCATCGGGGAGTTCGGGGAGCGAAGAAAGCAGCACTTCGGATTCCGTGGAGGTCTTCGAGGATCAGCAAAAGGTTCGTCGACTCTCCCGAAGGGCGCCGGGCGTCCTAGCGGCTCAAGCAATGCGGGAAATGCAGAGCAGCTTGCTCACGGCAACCGGTGGGATATGGCAGCAAGATCAGGCGGCAATACAACCTCTGGCATGTCAGTACTACAGGCAATCGCTGGCCGGGCCAGGTCGAGAAGGACTGACCCTTTGCTGGGCCATAGACCTAGCCTTACAAGGTCGGATGGCCGAATGTGTCGACGCCTTGGTCCAGAGGTTGAAGTCGGTCGAGATGGTCTTGCAGGGATCGGCGTGGCAAATCGCGCAGCGGCTCGAGGTATTACCACCAGAATGACCCCTCATCTCCTCAAGAGGGGAAACAAAAGAGGCAATCAGAGAACAAAAGGAGGAACAAAGAACTCGCAACGAAGCATCCGAGGGCAAAAGCAAGTCGGACAGTTGGCAGTGGCGAGACTATGGCAGCGAAGGAAAAGGAAAAGAAGGGAAAGGAAAGGGCAAGCGCCCGAGCAAGGACAAAGGAGAGCAGAAGAAGTGAGGGAGGAGGTCTTGCCATGGCTTGGTACAGGAGGGTGTCCGCCCTCAGACTATGATGCCCCGTTTGAAGCAGAGGGCAACGGTTTTCCAGCAGCTCTGAACCCATGCCGTCATGTCGACGAAGCAGGAGTGGAGCGACAGCAAGGCGTCTGGCTGGGTAGTCCGGCCGTTCCGTCACGCCTGATCGTGGATGAGACCTCGTTGATGACCTCGTCCGCGGAAAAAGTTTGCATGCGGCCGCCGGTGGCCGGGGATAGCTTGATCCAGGTCGTCCCTTGGTTGGTGCACGAGTTGGTTCTTCTTGGTCCGAAGGTAGGTTTGGACAAGCAATGCAAGACCCAGCCCAAGGGTGATGTTTTTCCATTGCCCACCAACATGTTGCACTTGAGGGACATCATGGGTGTTGACCTGGGCATTGTTGGGATGGTAAGAGGAATGTGCTTGGCGCTGAACTTGTTTTATGGAGTGCCCGCTGAGAATGACTTCCACCCTACTTCTCTTCAGGTTGAGGCTGTTAGGCACTTAGCTAGGGAGGCTCAAGTGGCATCTGAATGGCCAGAACGACTGGAGCAGATCTCGTGGCAGGAGTTTTTTCATTTGAAGACCATTGATTACTGTGGAGATGAAGTACTCTGTGCTCAGTCTACGACTTGGGCCAACCTGGCACCGGCAATGCCAGCTGAGATAGCTTCAGTAGCCTTAGCCGATGTTTGTGAATTGGGGTGCAAGCACTACGTGGAAAACTTCTCTGAATATCTCCTTCCCGGGGAGATGCAACAGGCCATGAAGGGGCCACGGGTCCTTGTTCATGATGATCATTGGCGAGAAGTTTGTGAAGGGCTGACCAGGAATGGGGTATGCACTATCCTCCCAAAGAGTCAGGTCTACCATGTACAGGGGCAGCCACTCCTGAACGGCCTGTTTGGAGTCAAGAAAGACGAAATTGTTGACGGACTACCGGTTCACAGGCTGATCATGGACCTTCGACCATGCAATAACGTCTGCAGAGGATTGGAGGGGGATGTCGCCACCCTACCGAGTTGGGCAACGATGGGACCGCTGCAACTTATGCCTACGGAAGATTTGGTGGTGTCCTCTGAAGATGTGCGCTGTTTTTTCTATATATTCAAGGTGCCTCAAGAGTGGCACCCCTTCCTGGCGTTCAACAAGCCACTCCCTCGGGACATGTGGCCTGGTGATGATGGTCCGTACTACATAGCATCGCAGGTATTGCCTATGGGCTTCAAGAACTCGGTCAGCCTAGCGCAACATGTGCACAGGAACATCGTGAGGATGGCCTCCACCAGGACAGATGAAGGGCTTCGGCCGGAGCAGGAAGTTCGTAAGGACAGGCCATTTTCAGCATCGTCTGTGCTTCATCGCATCTACCTGGACAACTTTGACCAGCTGGAGAAGGTGCCGAAGAACTCACATGAGCTCCTGGTCGGGGAGTGCAGTCCGGGCATTATGGCCCTCAGGGCGGAGTATGAGAGTTGGGGGGTTCCTCGTCACCCCAAGAAAGCTGTCTCACGGTCTCTTGTGGCTGAGGTACAGGGAGCGATCATTGATGGGAACTTGGGAATTGCATACGCCAAGCCGTCCAAGGTCTACAAGTACACGGGGCTATCCATACTGTTTCTCAAAGAAACTATGAGCAGCCAGAAGCAAGTCCAAGTCATTGCAGGGGGTCTTGTCTACTTGAGTATGTTCAGGAGGCCTCTCCTAGGCTCCCTGAATAACATCTGGAGGTTCATCGAGGCTTTTCGTGGCTATCCACCCGTGGTCAAACTACCCATCCCCGATGGGGTTAAGTTGGAGGTTGCCAGGTTTCTCTGCCTCATCCCGCTGGCTAGGTTGGACTTTCGCTTGAGTGTCTCGTCGGAAGTCACCGCAAGTGATGCTTCTACGTCGGGGGGCGGTCTTACGGTCAGCACAGGCCTCACGGGGTTTGGAATAGCAGCTTCGCAAACGGTCACCAGGGGTGACGTAGCAGAACCGGGAGATCTTCATGGAGTGCTTACAGTCGGGCTCTTTGACGGTATAGGAGCACTTCGAGTGGCGGCAGATGCGTGTGGGCTAGCGGTGGTAGGTCACATCAGCGTTGAGGTGAACAAGGCGGCCAGCCGTGTGCTTGAAAGTAGGTTTCCTGCCACCGTTTTCGTTGAGGGAGGTGTTGAGGCCGTCACGGAGGAGGAAGTGCAGCGCTGGGCATGTCAGTTTTCGCAGGCATCACTGGTCTTGATCGGTGCTGGTCCGCCATGCCAAGGCGTGAGTGGGCTAAATGCCGATCGCCGGGGAGCGTTGCGGGAGCTGGTCAAGCAGAAATTCAAGTGGGCCCAAGTGCGCTACCTGGCGGAGAGTGTGGCTAGCATGGACTCTCAGGACCGCAAGGTGATGACTACGTCCTTTGGAGACCTACCAGCTCGGATAGATGCTAGTGGAGTGTCCCTGGCGCGACGGCCAAGGCTGTATTGGTGCAATTGGGAGCTGAGATCAGGCCCTGGGGTTTCTGTACAACCACTGGAGGAGTCAGGAGACGCAGCATTTCGCACGGTCGAACTCACGGCAGAGGTGGCCACTAAACTCTACCTGCAGCCAGGGTGCAGCAAAGCCTCGGCCGAACCTTACCCTACGTTCACTACTTCAAGGCCAAGGGACTACGCCGGTAGGAGGCCAGCAGGTTTGGACAAGTTGAGTCGAGAAGAGCGGCTTTGGTGGGAGGAGGATGCTTTCCGGTTCCCGCCTTACCAGTACCAGTGGAAGCTGATGGTCGTTGATGCAAGGAAGGAGCCAAGACTGCCTGACATCCAGGAAAGGGAGGTGATCATGGGATTTCCCAGGGACTATACTATGCAATGCATGCCCAAACAGATGCAGGGATCACCTCAACACTTGGATGAAAGAAAAACGTTGATTGGCAACTCACGGAATGTCACGGTGGTCACTTGGTTGATCTCACAACTTGGCGGACAGTTGGGTCTTTGCTCATTTCTTTCGCCTCAACAAGCGGTCGATCGAACAGCTCCTGGCTCTTCAGGTGAACTAATGGGATTGCTATACACGCCTCCTATGCAACCGGGGAGGAAGCAGGGCGCACCCAACGGGGAGCACACTCTGGTGAGGAAGCTCCTGAATCTGGTCAGCCTCAAGGGCGAGGACATCATGTTGCAGGCGCCCACCGAGGACACCCTTCGTTACCACAGGTTGAGGGCCAGCCTTCCTGCGAGACTGTGGAAGTGGCGCACAGTCATGGGGTGGCAATGGTCCGGATCCCCGGAGCATATCAATGTCCTGGAGTTGAGGGCGGCTCTCACCAGTATTAGATGGCGCATTCTCAAACGGCGTGCCTTCAGGACGAAGATGGTACATATGATCGACAGTCTCGTGTGCTTGCATTGTTTGGTTCGGGGCCGGAGCAGCAGCCGGAAGATGAGAAGGACCCTGAGTCGAATTGACGCTTTACTCCTAGCTTCGGGGAGTCATGGAGTATGGGCGTATGTCCATACTTCACAAAACCCAGCAGACCGCCCTTCGAGGCGGCCCGTGAAGAAGAAATGGTGAAGAAGTCAGGAGTTCACTTAGAAGTTAGGAGTAAAGCAGCAAGGCAAGCACAAAGACGCAGATTGGGATCACTTCGTAACTTGACCGTCCAAAGTAAAACCAGGGCACGCTACAACAAAGCTATGGATCGCTATCGCAATTTCCTGCGAGAAGAAGACCGTCCCTATCCTCGTGATGCGGCGCACCAAGACTATGTGCTATCTCACTACATCGAACACCTCTGCAAGACCGGCGAGGGTAGAGCACTTGCCTGTGATAACGTGGCCGCGGTTCAGGACTTCCATCCTTTCCTTCGGGGGCACCTACCTAGCGCATGGCGGCTCCTGAAGACATGGTCGTCGAATGAACTACCAAACCGTGCACCTCCACTTTCTCTAGACGCGCTTCAAGTCCTGACTGGTCACGCACTCTTCAATGACAAGCCGTTGTTTGCACTTTCCTTGCTCTTGGGATTCCATGGGCTCCTGCGAACCGGGGAGCTCCTGGGAGTGAAAAAGGCGCATGTTGTCCAGTCAGGTCCTCGTAGCCCAGCGGTGATTTCCCTAGGACTTACAAAAGGCGGAAAGAGAGCTGGAGCAGCAGAAAGTGTCACCATTCGGGAGGAAGACACCTTGAGGAGACTTTGGCAGTGGCTGAATACACCTCACGCCCCAGCAACTCTTTGGGGAACACCTCATTCATGGCGCAAGACTTTTAATGAAAGCCTCGTAGCTTGCCAGTTAGACAGCTTTGACTTCCGGCCTTACAGCCTTAGAAGAGGCGGGGCCACTATGCATTTTGGCCGACACGGCTCGCTGGACCGCCTCCTGATTCAGGGGAGGTGGGCCTCTAGCAAAACGGCCCGAATTTACATTAATGAAGGATTAGCAGTTCTCGCTGAGCTCAAATTGGCCTTTAATGGCACAGCCCAAGCATACCAGCGGCAGTTTCAGAAGTCGCTCCGCGTCCCGCTACAAACTCTTGAGCTTCACCCAAAGGGTGGGCCAGGGGGAGGTGGAAGGAAGAAGCGACAGA